TCCGCTGGGCGGGAGGGAGGAACGTACTTCACTCTCCGGCCGCTTCTCCCCGCTCAGGAGCTGGAACACCTCCGCACACTCGACGGAGATCTTGATGTAGCCCTCCACGACGTCGTACACGTCCTCCCGCGGGAGCGTCTTGGCCGCACGGACAAACGCCTCCAGGGCTGAAAGAGTGACGTTCACACGTTAACAGGGACAGTCCCCCCAGAGGCACTCGCAGCCGCTCCGGACACGGGCGGGGGGCATCCGGCAGCAGCATCCAGATGACTGGACCCACCACCAACTGAGGTGGGGAGCACAGCCGCCACACACCACACACAGCTGGGGGATCGGCGCTCCGACCCAGTTCACACGCAGCAGGAGGGGCCTGCTCCGCCCAGGCAGCCTGCCCGGCACCGACCGGTCCGCTCCTGAGCACCCGGGGCTGCGCCGCCTGGCCCGCAGCACTCCGCTCTCCACCCCCCCACCGAGGGGTGCGGTGATCAGAGAGCGAGCGTAGAAAAGGTGCTATACCTCTGCCTATGTATCCACACACACACACACACACACACACACACACACACACACACGTTCGGCCTTCAAAAAGGAAATCCCGCCTTTTGCAACATGTATAGACCGTGTTAGTGAAGTAAGTCAGACAAAGAATCGAAAAAGCTGACCTCACAGAAGCGGAGTGGAGTGGAGGTTGCCAGGGCAGGGAGGGGGTGGTGGAGGGAAAATGGGGAGATGCAGGTCACAGGGTGCAAACCTCCAGCTGAGAGGCAAGTATGGGGGTCGGGGGGGGGGGATCCAGGGGTCAGGTGTTCAGCATGGAGATTCCAGTTAACAGTATTGAGTATGTACTTGCAAGTGTTAAGAGAATAAGTCTGAAATGTTCTCACCGCAAAAAAGGTGATTATGTGAAAGAGTGGCCCCTGTCAACTAACCTTCCTGTGGTCACTTCACAACCTTCGCGTGCATCAAATGTACCTTAAACTCACGCGTGTGTCACTATCACCTCACTGTAGCTGGAAACAACAGGTCCCTAACACACCTGGATGGAGACAGTTCCCTGCCACCTACCAAGTCCACTTCCCGGGAGGCCATGCTGCCACAGGAAGTGACAGGAACAGACCAAAAGGGAGAGAGAATGCGCGCTGGCAACCAGATTCAGACACAAGCCCACCCAGGCCCCCAGGAGACGGACAACATCGCCCCCAGCCTCTCCCCTGCACGGGGCAGCCGGCACCCACGGAAACCTGTGCAGACGCCCACCTGACTGTCAGGAGACTCTCGGGGCACAACCGCACGGACGTGGCTGTCATGTCTGAGAAGCGCACTTTCCTCTGGCAGAGGGTCCCTGTCCCCGCCCCATCCTGCACCTCTGCTGAAAAGCCACGTCCTCGGGGAGCCTTCTTGCCTCTCCCACCAGAAGAGACACGGGCCCCCGGACACCATCACGGTGCACAGGTGCCTCCATCCGCCGTCCCCACCGGACTTGGCGTGAGCTCACAGGGGCGGGGCCCTGTCTGATCTTTACCCACCGTTTTCTGTCTCCCCTAGAAAACGACGGACACATGAACGAGTGACTGAACACGTGCACGTCTCCGCTACAGCAGGCCTCATCGTCCCAGCACTGCTCAGCAGCGGCAGGCAGCCACCATTTACAGACAAAAATCTGTGCAGCACAAACGGGAAACCCACCGAGGCTCTTCTGGCCGGGACTTGAACAACTTCCTCAGCCGGGGAGAAACCCAGTCAGGGTTCGCTTAGACACAGCACCAGTGCTCCCCCACACAGCGGCAGTGCCACTGTGTTTCCCCCACAACCCGGCTACTTCCTAATGGCCGCGTGAAGGGCATCGCACTTTCCCAAAACCGAGGTCACAGCGTCTGCTCCCTGTCGGCCACCGGCCCAGTTCCAGCCAGCTGACACGTCCCGGTGGAGGCTCCAGGCTGGGTGAGGTTGGGGGACCAACGCTGCTGCGAACAGAGCAGTCCGCAGCGTAGGCGGCCTGCTTCACCGTAGGGACGCGGCACATAGTTGTGAATCGCCACACCTGTTTCCTTTCCTAGCAACTGCAGTGAAGCGGCTTTAGTGTTCGCGGAAGCCTGCTGCCCGGGCGAGGGAGACGTGTGGGCCCGTCTGCAGCTGTCGCAAGCACACCAGTCGGCCTTCCAGGGTCGCTCGCGGACGGCACAAGGCAAGGAAGCGCCGTGTAGCGACCCCGCGCGGCCCTGGGGCCCCGGACGCCCGACCGCCGGGGCCTCAGTTTCTCGTCTGCAAATCGGAAAGGACGGGCTGCGTCTGGGACACGACGACCGGTCCCACAGCGCGGACCCCCCGGCCCGGGGCCGCTCCGCACGCACGCGCGCGCGCCCCCGCCGCGGCCCTCCCGCACTCACCCGGCCCCGCGGTTTGCGGGTCCTTCAGCTGAGTCTTGAAGCGCACGCCCGTGAGCTCTTCGGTGCGGGCCCGCTTGGCTGCGCCCGCGGGGGACGCCGCGCCGTCCGGGCCGTCCTGGGCCTTCCTCTTGGGGACCCCCATGGCGAGAGGGCGGTGCCGCGCCGGGTTCCACACCAGCGGACCCGCGGCGGGGACTCACTGGCCGTAGGTGCAGACTGCAGTCTACACGTGCGCAGGAAGGGGCGGAGCCTGGAGGAAGAAGCCGGGCCCCGGAAGATTGGCCAACGGAAGGGGCGGGTCTAGGGCGGGACTGGAGGAAGGGGCGGGACCTTTGAGGGCGGGACTTGTGGGGCGGGGCCTGTGGGATGCACTCGCGGGCGCTCGGTTGGTTGGGTCGTAGGTGGGTGCTCGCAGGCTCGCTCGCCGCTCGGGACCAGCGGACTCTGCACGACGCCTCCTGCCCTGGCGGCTCTCTCGAGTCCCTGGCGGGAAGAACCCGGATCCCTCGCTCCCGCAGGGCGCGAGGCTGGGCGCGCCGGAGCAGCAGCGCCAGCCAGCTCAGCGGTGTTCCTGGGAGAGCTCGTGTGGGTGTGGTCCGCGGCGGGATGCCTTGCCCCTTGGGGGCACTGCGGGTTGGCCGGGAGGGTGCCCGAGCCCCGCTAAGTGCCAGGCGGGCTGATGCGGGAGGTCCTCGCACGGGCACCGGGGCCGAGGATCGTGCAGGCGCCCCTAACCGTGACCTGCAGCGCATCTCACACCCAGAACCAGACTGACCTCCGCCCCAAACTGATGGGAGGACGTGAGTGAGCCCGTTGGGCATGCAAGGTGGGAGGCGAGGAACAAGCGACCTGGTGTCTACCGCGGCCCCTGGTGGACAGTGCGGCGGCCTCCACGTCTAAGGTCCGTCCTTCAAACGGGGACCGAAAAGCCAGCCCTACCTAACCGCGGGCGAGCCCTGAGCTGAGAACGCGATGCAATGTATAAAAAACGACTTTGACGGCGGGGAAGAGTACTGCGTGTTTTTGCAAGACGTTGTTGACCTGAGAGCCGCGTTAAATGCTCTGAAATAACATGGAGGTATACATGAATAAGCAAAACCGGGCTGGTGCATTTTGTAAATGGCTTCATCAATGCTTGGTTCTGTGCTCCAGTAGGCCACGAGCCGGCTCATTAGATGAGGAGTCTGGTAGTTCCCGGAGTCCTCTCTCAGGCTCTCCTCCACTTTCAGGACACACTGGCTGGTGTTCTGCACGAGGGCAGTGCATGAGCATGGAGGGCATGGCCTTGCGGGGCCTCCTGGGATTTCGGAATCTCTTGTAGAAAAAGCCCATGGTGTGGACCCTGAGCCTCTGGGCTGGCATGACCGTCCTGCCCGTGGAGACACCTGTGTTGTAGGTGGGTCAGAGGAACTTGCCCTGCAGGCCTGAGCTGATGGGACGCAGCGGAGTTAAGAGGCAGGGACAGGCTCAAATTTCAGGCTGCAAAGGACAGAGCTCTTGGAGGTGAAGACAGAGACTTCATTCTGACTGTTCACTCTGGTTCCCTTCTGTCGTTAACTGCCCGCCACCAGGTTTTCAGCCAGGGTGGACCTGACCCGAGAGGTCGCAGGGGGAGGAAAGGGGCACTCCAAAGCCCCCCATCCAGGTCCCACCTGTGTGACTTTCGGCAACTTACCGTCTCTCCTTACAGAGACTTCCAGAGGGTGGGGGAGCTTGCCGGCATCGTGCAGCGGCTACGTGCTGGAGGCGCTCCCCCAGGGGATCCTAACCCTGACGTAGGGGCAGGTTCTCAGTGCCCTTCCTGGCCGGAGCAAGTGACAGGCCTGACGGGGAGCGGCTCAGAAGTGCCCACGGGTGCTCGGGCTGGGTCGGCTTGCTGCAGCTCGCCCGCCCCCTTGTTCGGAACCAGGCTCACCGCCCAGTGTGTGCACAGGGACAGGCCTGTCTCCAGGGAAGACCTGCCTGGGGGGAGGGGACCCCGGGTGTTCTGGTCTCCTAAAGGCAGACGTCACCGCGGCGAGGACAGTCTGAGTCGGCGGCGCCCCCTATGGGGCCGCTCCCCATGCTGCTCCCTCTGAGACTCTGCCCGGGCCCCGGGGGCTCGCAGCCACGTCGCGTGGGCTCTTCTCACTGGGCTCGCACTTCGCGTCTGCTTCCCCCGTCTGCTTCCCCGTGTTGCCGTTCTCACCAGCTGGCGATGCCAGCACTCATCTGGCAAACTCCCGTACTGAACGTGCACCTGTGAGGGCACAACACAGTTCATTGCTCCGTTCTCACCGCCCGGAACAGGGCGGCCGTCGGGGGCTCCGCAGGTATTGGCTGAACGGATGCCCACGTAGATCAGGGTGGAAATGACCACACCGACCTGGGGCTTGAGCTCAGTTAATGTCGGTGTCTACAAACAGGTAGGCTGCCCTTTGCGATGCCGTCAGGAAGCCCCGGATGCAGGTGTTTGAGTCCACAAGCTCGTGAACTGGCCCCTGGACGGGGTGAGCGAGCCGAGGGCGGTGTGCTCCCTCTGGCAGCCGACCGGCTCATCTCCGGGGGCCGCGCTTCCCATCACACCCGTTCCGTGTGGGTGTTGACTTACTCCCACCTCAGTCTTCTAAGTTCAAATGCAAGTCCTGGAAAGATAAAAGGGGACGCTCAGTCAGAGCCCACATCGAGTTCCCGTGAAAGCACGCCACCCACCGTGCACCCTGGGAACGTGGGGAGGAGGCGTTGCATCCCACAAGACGAGGCTCTCTTCGTGGTTCTCGCCGCATTCTTCTCCGTGCGTGCCGATGCGGTCACACCTCGGGGGGATGGGTAGGCCGTTCCCTTCCCCCTTCTGTGCCACTTTTAATCTCTCTCGTGGTGAATGCTTTTGTGTAGCAAAGGTTCACCGAGGTTGAAACAGTTCCCTTTTCTGCTTGTTCAGCAGTGAGGAGAACGAAGTGTCCTTTCAGAGACAGTCACACGGACGCCACTGAAGGACACGGTGTCCACGGGCCGGAAAAGGTGAGGGCCCTGCAGGGTTCAAGTCCACAGCGCGCCAGGGTTTCCATGCGTGTCGGGCCGTCCAGCCGACCGTAACGGAGCCAAAACGAGCCGTCTCAGACCAGGCCGCAAAAAAGGACAGCTTATTCTTTACACAGCAAAGCAGGGCACAAGCACACCCAACTTAGACACTACCGCACCCATGGTAAGTTTCAAAGCTATTGCAAAGACCGGACTAACGTCTTGATCATTAGAAATACAAGAAAATGTAGAAAATTTGAGTAACGCTATATTCTGTTCATTGACAGTGAGAGAACATCACACCCACAGACAGGATACACGGACTTTTTAAATAACACGGACAGTGATAAACGTTGACTGTGTTCTGGGCCACAGAGGAGACCCCAATCCATTCCCCAAAAACCAGCAACACGCAGACCGTGTCCTCCGATCAGCAAGCAGTGAAGTCAGACCTTGATGATAAGAGGATAGGATTTTTAAAATCCCATGAGCCTGGGGGGGGCGCGGGGGGAATCTTCTAAGGAACCTTTAGAAAGCACCAGGGAAATTATGACAGGCTTGGAATGAAATGCAAAGTAAAGTATTAATCAGCATCGGGGAACGACTCGGAACTGTGTGTCTCGAGCGGGCATTTAAGTGGAGTATCAGAAACCGGCTAACGGCAATAATGCGCTGTAAGCCTTGCAGAAGGGAGGGAGACGCTTTGTGGACCGCTCTGTGTGTGTGTGTGTGTGTGTGTGTGTGTGTGTGTGTGTGTGTGTGAGTTTCAAGCTATTCGTTTTTAAAACGAGAAACTTTTCATGGAAACATCTTGACCAAAAATCTGTTGCAGGATTTTGAGAACCATTAAAACAAAGTTTAACGAGGAAAAAAAAGAAAGTGGCACCAAAAATCAATGGGAAACGCATGGCGTGGTCGGTGGCTTACCGGGGAAATAAAGGTGGCGGCGTCCAATCCGGTTTCCAGGGCGGAGAACGGGCAACGCACACGGTGGACGCACACACCCCATTAGGAAATGGTTGTGGTGATTGCAGAATAAAATAAAAATACTTTCTTCTCTCTACTTATGTGTATTTTATTTCTAATAGCTATTGTTAGAACATAAATACTTATTAAGTTGTTTGGATCTAACTATTTAATGACTGTAACAGTTCAGGCTTTTGTTGTTTTGTTTTATTGTCTCTCTTTTTTTTAACTTTATTTTTATAGTTGACTCCATTACAGATGCCCCCATCTGCCCCCACCTCTGCCCACCTCCCCAGCACCCTCGCCCCCCTCCCTCTGGCCATCAGCACACCAATGTCTGTGTCCACTGTGTCCACACGGGTGTCCTCTGGCTGCTCCCTTCACCGCCTTTCATCCAGTGCCCCGCCCCCCCCCAGCCGCCGGCCTGCCCCACGCGCCCACACCTGCGTCTGTTTCGTGCATCAGTGTGTTTTCTGCGTCGGATCGCACACATGAGTGAGGGCGGGCGGTGCCGCCGCGGTGCCTGGGAGCGCTGTGCCAGATCCCTGAGACGCCAAGGACGCCGGGAACCGAGACGGTTCGGGAATCTCTGCTCCGTGCCCTGAATCAGAACTCGCTTCTGTTGATTCCGGATTCCTCTCGGTGGACTTTGATTTGTTTTCTCTTCTCTCTGATAAGCTTCCCCTTGGAAGCGATCATGAGAGAATTCACAGTGTTGTTGCACACCCTCGCTCGGAGCGGCGGCGGCGCAGCTCCTTTGGTATTCACGGCCGCCCAGCGATGGCAGCGGCCCAAGTGTCCGTCGGCAGGTGAACGGGTAAACACAGCGTCTACACACACCGTGGGGCGGCGTTCAGCCTTAAAGGGCAAGGAACCCCTGACACCTGCTGCCGTGTGGGCCAGCCTGGAGGACATTGTAGCGAGATTGTCCTTTCGTGGCGTGACAAAGCCCATCACAGAAGGACAAACCCTGCATGACTCCGCTTACATGAGGCCCACAGAGCGGCCAAAGTCACAGAAAGAACTGTGGCCCCCAGGGGCTGGGGGAGGGAGAACGGGGAGCAAGTGTTGGGTGGGTCCAGAGTCTCAGCTCTGAGGGACGGGGAAGTCCCTCGGAGGGCCGGTGACAACGGTCACACAACGCTGGGAGTGCACTTGGCACCCCAAACCGCACCCTGGAAGTGACGGAGATGGTAAATTTCACGTTGCAGATATTTTACCACGTTAAAGATTGGGGGGTCGGGGCACTTCCTGGGGCCCATGCTTTTGGAAGACACCAAGTAGGATTCCCACCCACAGAGGGCGCCGTTGGGGGCTGCCGGGGCATTACCCAGCAGGCTGTGCACCGCCTACTGTTCTCCCCAGGCTCCAGGCTCCCCCTCCCCCAGCATCTGTGCAGGGTCCCGGGCCTCCCACGCCCCCACCCCCTTCGGAGGCTCCTGCCCACGGGCGTTCATCTGTGTTGAACAAGAAGCAGCCAGCGGGACGCAGACACCACCCCCTCTCCCTTTGCCCACTCCTGGGTGAAGCCCTCGCTGCAGGGACCAGTGGGGCCCGCATCACTCGCCCTTAGAAAGGAGGAGAGCTCTGCGCTGAGGGAGGGGGGTCGGCACCTGGGGACAGATCCTGCAGGCGTCCACCCCCGGGGGGCGCTGGGTGGTCAGGCTGACAGAGCACGTGGAAGAGGGGTCACTGAGGGAAACTTCACACTGAACACAGCCGTGGACCAGAGTTAAATCACCCATAGTGCTCCATGAACCCCCCAAAATTTGTGTGTGCTGCACTCTTCTTTTGCAAAGAAAAAAATATGAATATCATAGAAAAACGGATACCATGTACAAAAAAATGGAAAAGATGCATTTAAGGAAACCTCAAGGAATGGCACAGTTTTAACCAATTTTCATTCTTTTTAAAATATTTTATTCATTTGTTTTTAGAGAGAGAGAGGGAGGGAGGGAGAAAAAAAGAGAGAGAAACATCAGTGCATGGCTGCCTCTTACACAACCCCAACTGGGAACCTGGCCTGCAACCTAGGCATGTGCCCTGACTGGGAATTGAACCTGTGACCTTTGGTTCTCAGGCCAGCACCCACTCCACTGAGCTGTGCCAGCCAGGGCAGATGCGACTGGTTTTCCGAAACCTACATCTACTCTAAATAGGCTACGGGCTTTTAGAGCCCAAATGGCCTTTCCAGGCGACCTTTTCATTTTGCAGAAGCGAAATCGTAGGAGGGAGGGAGGTCGGATGCCTCTGGGTGGGTGGCCATCCGCGGCAGAGGAGAGGCTTGTGCACTCGCGGCCTTTGACCTTGGACGGACTGCGCTGCAGACCGAAGCCAGCTCTGCTCCGTCTTCTTAAAGGCCCCTCGTGGGGGCCTTGAAATCAGCCCTTCCAGGCGCTGGAGCCTCGCACTGCAGCGCCCGGGCTCCCGCTACAGCGGCCGGCGGCCCTCGGGCCAGCCCCACAGACAAACCGCTGTTTGTTGGGCTCGGGAAACAAGCCTTTCCAGCTCTGGACCGCGGCCGGCCTCGCTCTCCCGCGCTGAAAGGTTGGTTTCTTTGCGGCAGACAAATGGCGGTTTATGTCTTCTTCCCAGAAGGGCTTCTGCCCTTCTTTGTGGACAGTCTGACGGCTTCTTACCTGGGCGGCGCAGGTGAGAGGGGAGGCGAGGGCTGGGGTTCGGCCACGCAGCACACGGGCACCTTTCCAAATAGGCCTGGAAGGAGGGACGGGGGTGGGGCCTGAAGCTGGCAAGGCCGGACCGGGTTGCTTCGAAAGAAAGAAAGAAAAAAAAAAGGCAGGAAGGAAGAGGAGAAAATAAGACACCTGCAGTGGCCCCCCATCGTCCGTGGGGACTTATTCTCGGCCCCCCCACCCCTGGTGGGGTCCCGGGACCGCAGACAGCCCCCGACCCTTTCAGACCATCTCCTTCCCTCTCACGGGCTCACGCCGCAGTGACAGGCAGCGTGGCCCTGACGCACAGTGCGAGTGACAGTGCGAGCGACCCCACAAACCAGCGATGAGTGAGAATGCTGGGACCCTGTGCCGTGACGAAGGGCGTGTCAGTGCGGCCTCTCTCGGTGCCCCCGCTCACCCGGCGCGGATGGAGGTGCCGGGCCCCGCGGAGGTTCACTCCCGGCCGGGGGAGGGAGCGGACGGCGTGAGAGGCCACCGCAACGCTGCTCGGAACGGCACACAGCGTGAAACCTGTGAATGCTTGTTTCTAGAATGTTCCATGTTGTATTTTCAGACTGCGGCTGACGGTGGGTCACGGAGACCGCCGAGAGCGAGACTCCACGAAAGGGCTACTACGAGTGCGCTTTGGGTGTCCGGCGAGGCCGCCTCTGCCCCACAGAACGGACGCCGTGGGCACAGGGCCCGCGGGCAGGAAGGAGCTCGATCCCCAGTGGTGGCCTCACACGGCAGAGGACGCTGTCACCTGACTGTCTCTGGGTGTCCCTCCCCAGTGGCGGCGTTTCTGCAGTCTGGCGGGGGGGGGGTGGTTTTCACATCGGAACCCGCGCCCTGGGCGTGTGGCTCAGGACGCCGTGCTCACGGAGGCCCTGCAGGGGGTGATGACGCCGCCCCCCCACCCCCCACCCCCCACCCCAGCCTGCCGGCATCCTGAAGTCCCGGTCGTTCTTGAACTCGGGGCCCCACGTGTTTGTTTGCCGCGAGTTGCGGGGCTGGTCCTGGTTGACCCCGCGTCAAAGGGCTGCTGTGAGTCTTAGCATGCTGGGAGCGCTGCAGTGTCCGGCCCACCCTCCCCGGACTCCGATTCCAGCCCCTGGAACTGCTGGACAGCCAGGGGCCGCACCTGCTTCCGGCGTTTTCCGTCCCATCATGAGAGGGGGAGCGCCTTGGTGGGGAAGATGTCGGCCCTTCCTGCCCCAGGCTGCTTTTACGAGGCTTCCCCCTCCTTTGAAGGGCCGCCTGCCCGCCTGCCCCGAGTTCCTGCCCTACAGGTTTTTATAGAGCCCCGGGGGCGGGCATGTGATTGTGGGATAATTGCAGGCAGAGAAACGGGTGGGTGTCCGTGTGGTCAGGGCACAGAGGGCTCCAGAGAGGAAGATAAACGGGGCTATTTTGTCTTCTTGCATGATTTCAGAATTCTTAAAGAGATCAGACGAAAACTGAACCTGATTGAGCAGGGAGCAGCTGAGAGGTGAAGTGGGGGGGCCTCCGTGTCCCACGGCACCCCGGCCACGCCGTGCGGCCCACCCCCTCCCGAAGTCCTCCCCCACGTGCCCACTTGCCCTCCTCCCGGCCCCCACACCACCCACACACAGCCTCGGGGTCACCTCCCTCGACCCCTGTGTCGTTGTTCTTGTTTGATTTTTTCAAACGGCTTTATGGAGACATGATCACACACCATGCAACTCGCCCCTTTCGCGTCCACAGGTCGGTGGGGTTTGGCGTATCACGTCACACACGCTTCCAGGCTGTGGCACACCCGCGGGCCCATGCGGCTGTGCCACTCAGAGCGTCGGTGAACTCACACTGCTGTGCCGCCGTCACCACTGTCTGCAGAGCTTCTCCGTCGCCCCAGTCCGAACCTCTGCCCCGTTCTGCCCGCTCTTGGTGGCTGATCTACTTTCTGAATGTGCTGGTTGTGGAGGTTTCTCGTACACGGAATCACACAACACGGATCACTCTGTGTCGGGCTCGCTGTGCCCAGCACGGCGTGTTCCGGGTTCATCCATGTGGCAGTGTGTACTGGAGGTTCGTTCCTTCTCGAGGCTGAACACCATTCCACGATGCGTTTACCCGCCATCCACCGATGGGCCCCCGGGCTGCTCCCGCCCGCCAGGGCGGCCACGGGCACGGGTGTCCGAGCACAGCGCCTGTGGAGCCCCTGCTTTCGGTTCTTGGGGTGTGGGACCTCTGACCCCCTTCGGTCCTCCAGTCCAGGCGCGCCCGGCAGCTGGGGCCTCTCACGGACACACACCCCCCGTGTCCCTCGACTGCTGGCCCTTCTTTGCTGCGTGAGGTAACGATGCGCGTGCTCGCTGCCTGTCGGGGTCCCTGAGCTGGGGCTGGTGCCCCTGTCCCGCCCCCGGGGCCTGCCCTTTGCCCTTGGCCGCATCCGCCCCAGACCTGTCTTGTGCTTCTGGGGAGCTGTGCTTCTCTTGGGTTTCACACGTGCCGGCCCCTTGTCCTCACGTGGATGCCCTCCCCAAACACCTTGCCGTCGATCGGCCCACTCCTCCCTCCTTTCCCACCCCTCTTGACCTAAAAGGGTCCCCGGCGCCCCCTGCCTGCCCTCTCCGCCGCTGTGGGGCCCTGTGTCCGCATCTGTCTTCCTCGCTGCGGCCGTGACTGATGTGGACCGAGGCTTCCTGGCTCCGGGCGGCCCTACCGGCGTCGCCGGCACCGGCTCATTCAAGCCCCACGACTGACAGCCCCGGGGACCTCAGATAAGGGAGCCTGGGGTGCCCGCCCGCTGGTCACAGTGCCCACTGCGCACACCCAGAGGGCAGCCCAGGCCCCAGGGATCGAGCCCACCCTGTGCCACATCCCAGGCAGCCCCTCGCCCAGGCTCTGCCCCGCAGGCACCCCGTTCCTATCTAAGCTGGAAGGGGGGTTGGGGGGGCAGATGGATGCAGCGCAAGCCCGGGAGGGGCCCGAGTTGGGGCCACCCTTTCTCGCTGAGTGGCTCCTGAGTGCTAGGCATCCTCACCCACCCCGCCTCAGTTTCCCCAACCTAGAAAGAACATACCAATAAAGTCTGGGCTGTTGAGAGGCCGAGGGCTTTAAAAATCCCTGGACCTGGAACACGAGGTCCTACTCCACCAATGCTGTGGGACCCGAGCCCAGCTCCGCCCCCGCCCACCTCTGCTGGAGCAGGCGTGGGACCCGGTGTCACCCGCCTCTCCAGGACCCCTGCCGCCGCCTCTCAGAGGGTCCCACAGGCGGCCGGGCGCGCCCTGGTTTCTCTGGGGAGGCCTCCCTGCCCCACTGCGCAGCCTTCGCAGCGCCTTCGGAGCCGGCGGACGGCCGAGCGCCGGGTCCCACCCTGGGGCCTCATTATCTACGTTGTTTCCGCGGCAGGCCCGCCGAGAACTTGGCAGGCCTCCCCGCGGTGCTCGGGAACACTTTGTGCCGAGCGCCCGGGGCCGGCCCTCCTCCTTCCCGTCGGCGCCGCCCGGCCGGGACAGCGCGCGGGGCCCGCGGGCTCTGGGTAGCTGCTGCCCAGGTAGCCGCAGCCGGGGCAGCCACGACGCTTCCGCGCCCTGGTCCTCGGCCCCCGCCCCCCTCCCCCCCAGCCCGGATCACTCAGGGCGCTCCTCGCCCACGGACTGGGTGTCCACTCGGGGACACACTGCGCGTAATCAAGAAGTTCAGGAAGACGCTGTGGCCTATTTTAAAACAAAGCCCAATTATCAGCGCTCGGCGGCCGTGCGTGTCGGTCCGGTGTCAGCCCCTGCGAGAGCCGCGCACAGCCAGTGCCCAGAGGAAGTGCGCCGTCAGCCGGGCCCGCGGAGACCGGCTCCCGGGCCCGCTGACACGCTTTGACACGCCCATCCTCGCCCCGCCCCCCCCCCCCCCCGCCGCGACCCGGCTCATTCCCGTCCTACTGCGTGAACTTGGACAAGGATCGGGGTCTCAGTCTCCTCCTCCGTGCAATGGGGGTAAACTACGTGCTTGGTGGTTCTGCAAGGGTCTCAGGGATATCGGTGTCTCACCTCGAGGCCCCCACCTTCCAGCAGCCCCCGCCCCGGCCTCGGCCCCGCCCCGGGGCGCCCAGGCTCACCGCGCGGCGCTGGCTCCAAAGTGCGTCACGGGCACCGGCCGCGCTGCTCCCGCGGCCAGGGCGAGGCTGGCACCAAGCCAGCGCGGGCCGGGCCAGGGGTGCCAGGCCGGCTCAGGGGCGGGGACCGGGCGTGAAAGGCGCTCTAGTTGCGCAGTCCTCGGCGCGCTGTTGGGGGCACCCTCCGCGGCAGGCATCGTGCCAGGGACCAGCCCCCCCGCAGCCGCGGGGCTCGCGGGACTACACTTTCCCTTCGGCCCCCCTCGTTTCCTCCCGCGCCGCGGCGGTGGCGGAGATTTCCTCTCGGGGAAACTACGCGGATCCTTCCCGGGGCTCCTCGCCCCGCCCCAGTTCTCCGCCCCCTCCCCTTCGCTGGGGAGCCGGTGCGGGCAGAGCCGGGGAGGTGGCGGGGGGCCGGGGAGCCACTGGCCACTAACTCGCCCGGCCATGTGACGCAACCCTCAGTCCGGCAAACCCCGGCGCGTCCTGGGCCCGCTCCCGCGCCCCGCCGTGCCGCGCACCATGCTCCTGCCGGGACCCGCGCGCCCCCCGCCCGCGCCCCAGCCGGCGCAGCATCCCGGCCTCCGCAGGCAGGTAGAGCCACCGGGGCAGCTCCTGCGCCTCTTCTACTGCACCGTCCTGGTCTGCTCCGGAGAGATCACAGCCCTCTCGGACTTCTCCGGTAAGACGCGTCCTCCGTCCCCGTGCGACCCCCGCGCCTTGGCGCGCCCAGGTGAGCCCCGGGCCAGGGGCAGTCGCCGGAAGGAGCTCGCCAGAGTTGGATTCAAGTCGGGGTGCGCTCATGGACAGTTTTCTTGCCCGTTGAGAGCCCTTCGTATATAGGTGGCTGCGAGTGGGGTGGTGGCGGGCGGCTCCCCACATCCCCAGGTGGAGGGGTGGGTGTACGCATGTGGAGTCTGTCCCGGGGCGGTGACCCCGGTCTCCTACCATCACAGGCTGGACTCCGACGGGCGCGCGGGCTGGAGGCTCCCCGAGCTGAGCCCCCAGCCGCCCGGCGCGGGGAGATGCACGTGCCGCGGTGGGAAGGGAGCGCTGGGCGTGCCGCCCACGCAGCGCCCTGTGCGCCAGCCGGTCTCTGGGGACCCGCACAGGGAGATGGGCCCGGGGTTCACCTGACCTGCAGTCTGTGCCCCTGGCCGGAGGGGGGCCGGAGGGACGCCGAAGGGGTGGGGGGCCGGGAGGAGAGGTGAGCAGCAGCTCACGGACCAGAGCGGGGACTCAGGCGGCACCACTACCTCCGAAAGGTGCCAGCGCCTCCTCCCTCTCCGCTCCCAGTCGACTTAGGGAACAACTCCCTCCGCCCAGAGAACCCTGAGCCGTGTCCTTTGGGGGACAGGGACCGCGCTCCTTTTGGGGGAACGAGCTCCTTCCGCTGCCCCGCCCCCAGAGGTTGGGGGTTGTAGGTGCGACCCCCCCGACTGAGGGCACTCCCCGGGCTCGCCTAGGCTCCCGGAGCCGCCTCCTCCGTCTCCCGCTGCCCTCGCCTACCCTACGGAGCATCCTCGCCGCTGCGGCCGCCGTGGTCTCCCTCCGGCGAGCCTCCACCCTCCGCCGGCTCGGGACGCCGCTCTGAGCCCCGTCTCCCGCTCCCAGCGTCTTCCGCCAGCCCGGGCTCTGCACGGTCCTGGGGGGCCCTGCCGGCAGGGTCTCTCGCACTGAGCGTGTGGGGGGCGGGCAGCCGGCCCCCAGCCCTTCCGCGCAGCAGCAGACCGGCCGGCGTGTGGCCGAGAGCACTGGCACACCAGAGGCTGAGCCGGGTCTCTAGCTCACTCACAGAGCGTGTCATTGTTAGCCGAGGGCCCTCGGGTCAGAGGTTCCCTTCTCTGAATATTTAATATCGAGGCAGAGTTTCTGCCGCACCAAGGAAGCCAAGATACGCCTGTTTGGCAAGCAGAGCGTCGCCTTCAGAACTGAACACCCCGGGGCCGGAGCGCCGGGGTAAGTGTGCCGGGGAAATGCTTTCCCAGAGCTATTGACTTTTTTTTTTTTTTTTGTAATAGAACTTTCTTGGCTGCTAGGAAAGTTCTCTGTGTGCTGACTTGAGCCATGGAGAGTGGCTCCGAACCCAGCCGCCGCAGGCCGTGCGTGCCGTGAGCAGAGAACTGAGCGTCGCCGGGCCCTTTCGGGGACACTCGCAGCTGGACAAATACTGCTCTGGGGGGCCTGCGCGGTGCCCCTTCGACCGTGTGCGCCGGGCACAGACACTGGTGGCGTCCGGGGGCGACCACCCAAGCGTGGGCGTGCCCCCATGTGGCACCTGTTCAGAGTGAGAACCTGAGCTACCCCACGGGGAGGCCGCCCCCCCGGGAAATGCGTGCTTTGATGCGTGTTTTCTGAATGACACGCGTGGGGAGGGAGAGGAACTTCCTTCAGCTTTCGGTGGGAACCCCCGGCCCAGGGTTTGAAACTCCTGGCCGGCGGTAGGGGTGGTGTTGCTGGATTCACCCGACAGCCTTGCCTTGCAGAGACCCCCAGACTGTGGAGGCAGTGTCGGGGGGCCTCCTGGGGGGAAGAACAGAAAACCAACGTCCCCCCGAACCGCAGACACACTCAACTTGAGGTCCAAATCCTATGTTGTGTGGCATCGCAAAACGCTAGAAAAGGCTTGGGGAGTAAATGCAGCCTCTCAAAGCTGATTAATTCGACCTGAACCTTAACGAACCTTTAGGGGCCTCCTCACCACGTGAAACTCGGCCTCGAGCAAAACCCCTGAGCTCCAGAGACGACAGGCCGGGCGCTCAGTGGAACCACTGAGTCCAGGCAGGGGGTCTGGTCACCTGACGCCACCCCCACCCCCACCCCACTCCAGGGGCCGCAAGGCCTGGTGCCTGCCCCCCGGGGGTAGGCTGGCCTGCTCCTCCCTGTGCACTTGGACACGCGAGTGTGGCTGTGGCCTGTCCCCCCAAGGAGGCGTACAGTTGTAAATCCGCGCGGGAGAGCAGCGTGGGCAATGCAGGCACCTGCTTTTCCAAACGAGGGGAGCATCAGACCCTGAAACCGGGGAGGCTGGGGGAGCTTGGGACCCCCTTTATCCTGCGAGGACGGGGTGGAGGAAGAACGGCGTGTCCCCTTGAGAGAGGGTGCTGGAGTGTTGGGGCTGGGGCTGTCCGTGCGGCACAGGGCCCGTCAGGAGGTTCGCAGCCAGCATCGGGGAAGTCACTTCAGCCTTTGCGGCTCTGCGGGGGCCTCCTCCTGGGCCACTGACTTCTTTTCCCCTGGGGATTCCAGCTTTGCATCTCCCACGTAATAAGCCAGAGGCTGCAGGGAGCCCCTGCCCCTGTGCGCTGCTCGTGACCTGTGCTGACCGCCTCCAAGCTTGCTGGGAGGCAGCCTCCCCACGCCCCTTCTCCCTCGTCCCTGAAGACCCCGAGGCACTGCCAGGGCCGCTGGAAAGCCACCTGTTGTCGCCGCATTAACGACACATCCCAGGGAGGCCCCGGCAGGTCGTGCGGAACCAGGGCCTCTGGTCCCTCCTCCCACGCTCAGGGGCCCCGGGCGTCCGCCCACTTTCCTCCTTGGCGCGGGGCTCTGGGCTTGGACTGCACTCCCACATGGGGGTTTGGCTTGAGGGGTCGAAACTGATCACGGATTTAAAGAAAGAAGAAAAGGAACGACAGCATCAGCATCAGCTTTGCCCAGACAGCAGGGGCGTGGGCCCAGGGGAGGAAGGGGTCCCGTTGGGTCCCGGCCGTCAGTAGCAAGGGCCCCTCCCTCTGCCTCTGGCCCAGCCTCCAAGAGCCATGCTTCCGTGTGCCCCTGCGCAGAGCTCCCCGTCCCTCTGTTATTGTTCAGGGGGTTTTTCATTTTGTTTTGTTTTTGCTGGTTTTAATCCCTGTTTTCTCTCTGGGGAGGGCAGGCAGGGTCTCCTCTCCCTGCTTCTTATTCTCTCTCCCCCATTCTTTTTCTCCCTTCCCACGGAAGGCCGAAGTGATGGGTGGGCTTCGGAGCGGGTGGGGGTGGCGGGGAAAGGGTGGGAAACCGTCCTGTTCCCACCTGGGTTCCTCCATGGGGGCCGTGAGCGCGTGTTTATATGTGGGGCGTGGCCGCAGATGTGGGAGGCGGTGGCGAGGAGATGAGGACCAAGGAGAGCAAGCAGGTGGCTGTCAAAGCCTCCCCTGTCCCGAACGTCCCCAGACCTCAAACCGAGGTGACTGCCCGGCGGCCAGCGCCCTTGTCCCTGCCCTCGGGGGCCCCAGCGAGGTGGGGTGCTCGTCTGCAGGTGTGTGCCACCGGGCAAATGAAGCTGGCTCCTTCGGCGCTGGCCAAGAGTTTCAGAGTGTAGACAAACGGCATTTCGACTGATCTCGGGTTGAGGGGTGGGAGTAGGTCCCCGTGGGGGCAACAGACTTGCCCCTTGAAGAGGCCGTGAGCCTCTCCGGTCTGCTCGGATGCACGGCAGGCCCTGGCCCTGGCCCGGGCTGCCTGCTGCAGTCGCCTGCATCTAAACTGGGGGGACTGCTCAACAGCCCCCCAGCCTCTGATTTCCCTGGTCTGGGAGAAGCGGGCGCTGGCCTCTATTTTAAAGCCCCCCCGCCCCCGGCCGCGCCGGTGCCGGCCGGAGTAGAGAACTGCCGCTCTCAGGTGCGTCAGCCTGTCCACAGGCACGTGGGTGTGACCGGTGTCCCTTCACTCCCCCCTGCGCTCCCGGCCAGGGAGACCAGGATGGCACTGTCCCAGCTGTGCATTTGTCACTGCACCCCAGCACACACATGCACACACATGTAAGGGCACACACGTGTAAGGGCACACACGTGTCACCTCGTCCTTTCATTCAGGGACTGTCTTCACCTTCAAAACTTCTATGGCCTGAAAAGCTGGCCTGAACCGAAGACGAACACACTGAATGTTGGGAGGGGCTGTCCAGCTGCCACAGAGGACAGGGGGAGACCACGCGCCTGAGCCTGCCAGGCTGTTCCCGTGGAAAGGAACCATGTGGGACAGTGTCCCATGGCGGAGAGGAGTTGGGCAGGCCGGTGGTCCCATCGGCGATGGCTCCTGGGAAGGGCAGGCTGGCCAGGGTTTGGGGGGAGGGAGGCGGCGAAAATCAGCTGAGCCCCATGTAGCCTGGTGTCCCCTCACAGGAACCCGCGGGGGTGGGCCTGAGCCATAGGTTAGCATGAGCCCCGGCCTCAGGGTGGGGGCCTGACTTCCCGAGGTGCCCCGCTGGGGAGCCGGGCCGTGTGGGTGCGCGTGTGGGCACCGTCTGTGAGCTCCTGGGGCGCCCAGCACCGTTTCGGCTGGGCTCGGAGCAGGCTGACCTTGACCTTTTCCGGTTCCTCCCTCCAGAGTCTTGGTCTCACTCCCTGCAGAGAGGAGGCCAGCCCCTGGCCACCCCGTGGGTGCGAGAGGGATGGGCTTCAGCTTCTGTTCTTTTCTTTTCCATCTTAAAAGAGGAGCTGTTTTTCTTATGATTAACATGTAAATTTACAGTGGAACAGTACATGATTTATAAGTAAATGTACATATGTTAGAGATGTGTTCTCAAAATGTTTGCCCTGATGGGTTCATGCTTTTAAAGATGTAGAGACCACCGGACTTCCCAGGCACCCCGTCAGCACCTGCCAAGTTCCTGAAAAGGCACCCCTTGGGGGTGATGTGTGTGGGGCAACTTCTGTTCCTTTGGTAACCGCCTGCCCCCTGACTCGGCCAGACTCCCCTCCC